AATCAAGTCTTTAATAAGAAACCTTTCCCAGTTTTGGGAACATGGGAGTCTTGGGGAGGTTTTTGGTGGTAGTTTCTACCTCCATACAATATGTACAAATGAGGACCTCCACATCTGATTTCCTAAAACTTTTAAAGTTTACCTCCTCCTGAAGCCTTGATATTCCGAAACAAAATAAAAATATATGAGATAGTCGCTTTTGTCAGAAGGTTTTATAGAAGTACAGTAAGTTGTAAACATATTTTATTTTTAAAAAATAACTGAAAACAAAATAGCTTATTTTTAAAAAGTGAGCCAAAACAAAATATACACTTATGTAATGAATATAAAATCCCAGAAGAGGAACTGGAATAGGAAACCTCCATCCATCCCCATCTTTGCTTTTGGTACAGCATTGAGTCCAGGTTTCAGTTGATGAAATAGATGAATTGCCATAATTTCATCAACTGATGAATATTTAGCAAACTATCAAGAAAAGAAAAGGATGTGCATATTTGAAAGTCTATCTCTGATAGCAATTCTCCATCTGGAAATTTGTAACATATATCCTTGTACAACTGTACACTGAAATACAAAATGTTATTTGCACATTGTTTTTAACAGTGAAAAACTAGCATAATAAAAATCTTTAACAGAACTGTGGCTGTGTGTACTGATAGGAAAGCTCTTCAACAGAATGATAAAGTGAAAACGGCAAACTGCAGAACTATTTTTCTGCTGAGAAATTCTATGGAAGATAGGCTGAGAAAATTATATACCTTTTGTCCATAACTGTTTAAATATATCTACCTATGTTTCCTTATGTAATTTTTGGAAAGATGCATCACAAATTAAGGAAGATTAAGGAAAGAAGATTTCATTTTTGTGAGCTTTCATTTTCACATCCTTTAGAAATTGTGAGTTCTTCAAAAACAATTTACAAAACATTAGCAAATTTCATTTCAGGATTCTGATGATATTGACCTGCAACAAATTGATTTGTTGGGAGTTACCAACTTTGGCTTTTTTTATTCATAAATGAATTGAGTAATTTTCAGAATCATACACATGTCTAGACTGCAATATTTCATGCACTTGTTTTTTTGGCCCAATCATTGTGACCTATTAGTAGAGCAGCTTTTGTTAACTTCACAATGAACATAAAATAATTAAAATGCTCAGTGTGGGGTAAGCTTAGATTGTGCAATATATAATTTTGAAAAAAAAAAAAGAATACATTTGTGTTATATTTCACAGGCACCCTATTAAAGAACCTAAGTAAAAAGCTTTGTGGGCTTTAGAACCTTGCACTTGGACATTTTTAAATGTGTCTTCTTTGGATATGTATAGTCTCCAAACAGAAAGTTTGTCTATTTCTCCTCTCTTTAGAGGGATTTGTTTTGTATATATTTTTTAAATATTTATTTATATGAGAGGCAGAGTTCCAGACAGAGAGGGAGAGATAGAAAGGTCTTCCATCCACTGGTTCACTCCCCAAATGGCTGCAACAGCCAGAGCTGGGCCAATCTGGAGCCAGGAGCTTCTTCCAGGTCTCCCATATGAATGCAGGGGCCCTAACATTTGGGCCATCTTCCACTGCTTTCCTAGGCCATTAGAGAGATGCAAACCAGTGACCATATGGGATGCTGGTGCCACATTAGGAGGCTTAACCTACTAAGGCACAGTGCCAACTCCTAGAAGGATTTGTTTAATAACAGCTATTTGGCAGTATAGCCATTTGTAAATTGTAGTTGTACACTAAATCTTGATTTGTTTCGACTCCCTTATTTTTGCTCAGCAGGAAGGTTAGGTTAAGGTTCTAGTGGCTCAAACTATCAAGATTGTTGGTTTCAAAGTAGTCAGATCCTCAAATGAGTTACTTTGAAACAGCTGTTACTATGGTCAGCATGGAATGTTCAGATGTAGCCAGTTTTGAGTCACATGACTATCTGTTTCTTTGCCACTTAGGGCAAAGATCTTCAGGTCTTGCCATTCTTCCAAGGTGCTTTACACATCTGTTCTCTGGCTGGTATGTATCCTCTTGTAGATGGCTTTGCCAGGAATCCCCAGCAGCGAGATCCTCTTCTCTCCCTATTCATGGAAATGCAAATATAGCATCCTTTATTCAAACCAGGGAAATTTTTCTCACATATAGGTATCCTTGTTCCACAAAAGCATTTTATATATATTATATATACCTAGGCAACTCGTTAGCTTTGTTGTCTATTCAAGACCCCCAGTTATCTAAGTATCTGTTTCCTAGTTATAATTATTTTGCAACATAAAACCAGAGAGATGCTCAAGCAATTTCTCCTTTCCTCTTCTGGTGTAGTCAACCTGGAGGCCATTGTCTATTTAAAAGCGGGGTAGGGAAAGGGAACTATCAGGAGATCAAAATTTAGTTAATCTTTAGAAAATACCTCACCACCTTTTTAATGCTAAATTGCTGGGAGTTTGTACTTAAGCAGTCTGTTACAAGGTGACTTTTCAGGGTCTGGGCTGTGGTACAGCGGGTTAAAGCACTGGCCTGCAGTCCCGCCATCCCATGTGGGCGCCGGTTCTAGTCCTGACTGCTCCTCTTCCAATCCAGCTCTCTGCTATGGCCTGGGAAAGCAGTAGAAGAAGGCCCAAGTCCTTGGGCCCTGCACCCATGTGAGAGACCCAGAAGAAGCTCTTGGCTCCTGGCTTCAGATCGGCGCAGCTCCAGTCATTGTGGCCATTTGGGGAGTGAGTCAGCAGATAGAAGACCTATCTCTCCCTGTCTCCACCTCTCTCTATAACTCTGTCTTTCAAATAAAATAATTTTTTTAAGATAAAAATAAGGTTACTTTTCAGTTTTTCTTGTAAGAACAGTCATATGGATCAAAACTCAGTGTAAAAGAGTGAATGTTGAAAAGGCTTCCTCTCACACCTGCTTCCCAACCTCTTATTTCCTTTCCCCATAGAGAACCTTGTTATATTCTTACACTTTCAGAAAATTCTTATTTTGTTTTTACTGTTTATTTTATTTATTTGAAAGACAGTTACAGAGAGAGGTAGACACAGACAGGTCTTCTATCCAGTGGTTCACTCTCAAGATAGCTGCAACGGCTAGAGCTGTGCTGATCTGAATCCAGGAGTTTTCTCCGGGTCTCCTCCCACAGGGGTGTAGGGGTCCAAGGACTTGGGCCATCTCCTGCTATCCCAGGCCATGGCAGAGAGCTGGATCTGAAGAGGAGCAGCTGGGACTAGAACTGGTGCCCATATGGGATGCCAACACTTCAGGCCAGAGCTTTAACCTGTTGCGCCACAGTGCCAGCCCCAGAAAATTCTTATTATATTAAGTAGAATGTATATTCACTTTTCCACATGCATTTTTGTATATAATTTTCCTATTTTACATGAGTTGTATTGCTGTTCTTAACCTTATTTTTTTTGGCTCAGGAGTGTCTTGGGGATCTTTCCATGTTAGTACATAAATAGCTTGCTCATTATTTTACAGCTGTATAGTATTGCAATGTATGGATGTACTTGATTAACAAATCCTATGCAGTAGTTTCCCCTTCTGCATAGTTTCACCTTCCATACTTTGACCAGTGGCGAAGTGGGCTCTGAAATATTAGATGGAAAATTATATGAAGAAAAGTTCATTCTGGGTAGACTTTTGAAGTACCATGCTCTACCCCCTGAATGAATCATATTGTCAGCATATCCATGCCCATTAGTCACTTCGCAACTTAGTTACCATAGGCTTATGTGGTATTATTATTATTGTTTTCTAGTAAGCTTTTGAGAGAAACGATTTTACATAACTTATTACAGAATATATTGTTTCCTTATTGTTAATCTCTTACTGTGCCTAATTTATAAATTAAATTGCATAGACTTGCATGTGTAGGAAAACTATGTATATACATTTTGGTACTATCTGTATTTTCAGGCACCCCTGAGTGTCTTGGAATGCATCCCCTTGGAAAACAGTGACTACTGTATTTTCACTGCTGGTCATTTCGGTTGTTTCCAATCTTTATTATTATAAATAGTACCGTAGAGAACAATCTTGTACATGTATAATTTTATACATAAGTATACATTTAGGACAAATACTTGAAAGAAGAGTTACTGGATTGAAGTATACATATAAATATGTGTCATTTTAGCAGATCCTGCTAAGTTGCTCTCCATAGAGGTTACATCAGTTTACTCCCTCCAACAGACATGCATGAACAGTTTGTTTATTCACAGCCTCAACATCAGAGAATGTTACCAGATTTTTGGATATTTGACAATTGAGGATGAAAATGATACCTAATTTCTCTGATTATTAATGATGATACTGAATTGAGCATCTTTTCATGTTTAAGGTTCACTTACTCCTTTTTTGTCATATTTGCCTGTTTTCATTTTGAGAGTTTAGATTGCTGGTCTTTTTCACACTGATTTCTAGTAATTCTATTATAAGAAATCTTCCTTTTGTGTTATAAGTTGCAAATATTTTATTTGAAACATTGGTTATTTGATGTAATATTTGACTTTTACCATGCAAATTTAATAGTGTATGGGATATCTAGTTGAATTTATGAATCTTAAATGTTGTATCTTAGTTAGAAAGACTTTTTCCCCTCCCAGGCTATTTTCCAGTTATTTCTTCTGTAATTTTATTTTTATATTTAGATCATTAATGCGTTTTAGACTTTAGCCTGACATAGGGTATGGAGTATGGATTCTACTTGTTTAGTTGGTTGCCCCATTGAATGAGTAACATTTTAAAATCTAGTTGAGTTTAACAAAGCAAAAGATGTTTTATTCTTGATTTTGCTCTCCTTTCTACATAATTTAATCAAAATGTTCACTGATGTGGCTTCTAGTTGTACTTGAGTAACGTATACTTCTATGTGGATCAGTTTATACTAAGCTCAAATGTCTTATTGGTTATATACAATTCAAAACAAAAAATACACATGATCTAAACATGAGGATACTGTTTTAATTTAAACTGTTGTAGTATTAATAATTTGTTTCCCCCTCTCTCTTCCATTAAGGATTCTGGACTCTGCTTATAATATCCCTAACTGCTGGATTCTCCTGTTGCAGCTTTTCTTGGACAGTGACTTATTTTGATTCTTTTGAACCAGGAATGTTTCCTCCTACTCCTCTTTCACCTGCCAGGTTCAAGTAAGTGTTCCCATGTCTTGTTGCTTTTGTAACCCATTCCAAATACGTTAAAAATATGAATGAAGCAAAATGCTATTTGTGGTTTATGTTCAGGCTTCCAGTCTTTAATCTATAAAACACAAATGATACAAGTTTTTTAGCTGTGAACTTGGGAAAAGAATTTAAAACTCCACATTTAGATTATGTAGTTTTCTTTTAAAAAGCAAAATTCAAGGAATTATCAAAGAACTGAGAAGCTGGTGGCTGTCTGTCTTTTTGGAATGGAATTTCATTTAAAAGCTTATGAAGGTGGGCTGGCGCTGTGGCTCACTAGGTTAATCCTCCGCCTGCGGCGCCGGTATCCCATATAGGCACCAGGTTCTAGTCCCAGTTGCTCTCTTCCAGTCCAACTCTCTGCTGTGACCCAGGAAGGCAATGGAGGATGGCCCAAGTGCTTGGGTGCCTGAACCCGTGTGGGAGACCAGGAGGAGGAAGCACCTGGCTCCTGGCTTCGGATCTGCACAGCCCCGAACGTAGCGGCCTTTGGGGAGTGAACCAATGGAAGGAAGACCTTTCTGTCTGTCTCCCTCACTGTCTTAACTATATCTGTCAAATATTAAAAAAAAAAAAAAGTTTATGAAGGCAAAATTAATGTCAAAATTTGAACATTTTATTAAGTTCACATGTAAATGGTCAAGCTAATAATTGGGTTGGACTTTTCCTCAGGATTTAAACTTTGTGTATCTATTAACAAGCATCCATGGCACCAATTTATGTGCCTAGAGCAGATTGGATACTTTTCATAGTGGAGCAATATTACATTTCTTTGATCTGCATTTTCTGTTTTCAAAAAATGCAGAAAATTCAACAGGCAATGTTCTAATCTAGTTTATTCTTACAAAGAAAGCTTCAGTTTTAAATATAAACTTCCAAAGTTCCTATTTTGTTACGCAAATAAACTAGACTATTTTGGGGGGGTAAAGGGTGGTACTGTTGGTGAAGACTAGAAAATAATTTCTTTTAAATTTATGTATATTATTTTAGTTGTAACTCTTACTGTCATCTCCAGCTCACCTCATGGACAGGTTGAAAGATTCAGATCATTTATTTGAGACAAACTATAAATGATAGTTACTAGTAATCATTAGTATTGTTGACTTTCATTATTAGTAAGCTTCCAAAAATTTTTCTGACTTAAAAAATAATGTCATTAACATTTTTCCTTCACTTCAAAGGAAATGTGAATGCATATGTGTATGGTATATTTGTGTATATTATTAAATTATTTAACACTTTTTTTTTTTTAAGATTTATTTCATTTATTTGAAAGAGAGTTACAGAGAGAGGTAGAGTTAGAGAGAGAGGTCTTCCATCCGCTGGTTCACTCCCCAGATGGCCGCAACAGCCAGAGCTGCGCTGATCTGAAGCCAGGAGCCAGGAGCTTCCTCTGGTCTCCCACATGGGTGCAGAGGCCCAAGGACTTGGGCCATCTTCTGCTGCTATCCCAGGCCGCAGCTGGGACTAGAACCGGCACCCATAGGGGATGCTGGCGCTTCAGGTCAGGGCTTTAAACCCTGCACCACAGCGCCAGCCCCTTAACACATTTTTATTTATAAAACTAAAAACCATATACTTGCTGATAATTCTGTGTATCTGAGGTAGATGAATAATTAATAATTAAATTGATTAAGAATTATACCTAAAGTGCAATATCATCCCATAGTTTAAATGGGTACCATTTAATTGGAAGGTTTATTTTGTTCAGTGATTAGTATTCAATTCATATTTATATTTTTCTGCCTGTTGACATCAGTTACTTCAATAAGAGAGAGGGGCCTCATATAATGAGACCAATAAGTTACAAGAAAATATCTTAATCTTTTTCTTCTTTTTTTTTATCTACCCTGAATTCCAGCCCTACATTTCCAGCTGGATAGTAGATCTTGCTGCCTGGGTTCAGAAAGCATCTTGTAACTTAGAGTTACTGTAACTCTAGGCTTTGTCTTAGAGACATCAATATCCATCCATGATAGCAAGCCTGAAGTCCTGATTTATACCTTTGCCAAGTCCAATCCTAACCGTCTTTTCAAATGTTCTTGGAAGACTCCTTTCTGGATTCCTAATACTTCTGTACTGTTTAAGGCCTTGGCCAATTTACTTGATTCCTTGGTCTCCCATCCTCCAAGATCTTACTCTTTTGTCCTGAATAGTGCTGTTTTTCTAAAAGTAGAAGTCTCAACTCTCTTCAGTGGCTTTTCCACTGCCTTCAAAAATAGTTCAGTTCTTAAGTACAATGTAACAAAATGACCCTGTCCTACTTTCTCAACTTCATCTTTACATATTTCCACAACATACTACATATTGTAGTCACCTAGTTATCTTGACATCCTTCAAATAAACTAGTGATTTAGAGATGTCATCCCCTTTACTCTTGTGGTTTCTCCTTAAAGTGTCATTTTCCCATTCTCTTTCACCACTGTCACATTTTGTAAGCCCCATAATTGTTAAAAGCATTTGGAATTAGAGAAAGTGTTTTAGTGTTCTCTTAAAGATCTGTAACTGATGGCACTTAACTGATTTTTAAAAAATTATCTACATGTTGGGCCAGCCCTGTAGCACACTAGGTTAACCTAACTCTGCCTGCAGCACTGGCATCCCATATGGGCACCAGATTCTAGTCTCGGTTGCTCTCTTCCAGTCCAGCTCTCTGCTGTGGCCCGGGAAAGCAGTGGAGGATGGCCCAAGTGCTTGGGCCCCTGCACCCGCATGGGAGACCAGGAAGAGGCATCTGGCTCCTAGTTTCGGATCGGCGTAGCTCTGGCCATTGTGGCCATTTGCGGGGTGAACCATCGGATGGAAGACCTTTCTCTCTGTCTCTCTCACTGTCTGTAACTCTGTCAAATAAATAAATAAATAAATAAATCTTAAAAAAAATATATCTACATGTTTTATCAAACTGGAACCAAAAGTTAAGGGCCTTGATTTTCTTTTTTTTTCTTCTTCTTTTCCTTTCTTTTTTTTTTTTTTAACTTTTTAAAGATGTATTTATTTATTTATTTATTTATTTGAAAGCCACCGTTACAAAGAGAGAAGGAGAAACAGAGGAAGAGATCCTCCATCCTTTTGGTTCACTCCGCAGTTGGCTGCATTGGCCAGGGCTGGGCCAAGCCAAAACCAGGAGCCAGGAGCCTCCTCCTGGTCTCCCACTTGGCTACAGGAGCCCAAGTACTTGGTCTATCATCCTCTGCTTTCTTAGGCCGCTAGAAGGGAGCTGGATTGGAAGTGGAGCAGCCAGGAGGGACTTGAACCTGAACCTCATGGGATGCTGGTGTTACATGTAGTGGCTTTACCCCCTGTGCCACAATGCTGGCCTCAAGGGGGCCTTGATTTTTCAATGTGATTGTTAGTTATCCAGTTTTAATATGAGGTAATATCAGATCATAGACATATATTATATATGTATGTATGTATATATGTGTATATATACTTGTTAGTACAATCCTAACAGTTTTGAAACATACATACAAGATATATAAAAACACACAAATAATATATTTATCAAAGTAAATACAAAATATACTTTGTACGTGTATGGTTATAGAATTATAAATAAAGTGAGAACCCTGCCCTCTAGTGTTTGTGGAAAATATGCACTTAACTCCAGAAATGTCAGAGTGTGTTCCCTTTATCACCAGTAGAGTGAGTCCTTGTGCAGGGAAACAGCTTCTATACCTTTTGAGAAAGTTGACATCTTCAAACTTTATTTTCTTAGAAATCAGTTGGTTAATAATATGAAGCATCATACTTTCATAAAAATCTTTGTAATGGGTTATATATTATTACCTAAAAGAAGCAATGATGTCAATATAAACATTTATTTTGATTCTTTGTTGAAAATAAACAGAAAATAATAGAGATTAGGAACAACTGGGAAATTACAACCAGCTACCAGCATTTTAATGTGTATCTTTCCATTTATACATATTTTTAAAAATGAAATTGGGACTACAATGTACTGTATTTTCCAAGAGACTTTAAAAATCCTATTTAATTAATCTATTAAGATAGTAGTCGTTTGTGATCCTCTGCAGACTTAACCACATTTGTCCCTCACCACCACCTACCCTTTTAGCAGAATAACTAGTTGGGAAGCTGGAAAAAATTTGTGAAGCCATATTTGATGTGGATATCCACTTTGTCTCTTTGAAAACATATAAATTCAGGACAAGAGAAAATAGTACCTGTTGATATTTAGCAAATACTAGATGAAAGATTTAAGTAAATCAGCAATTTGGATTAATCATTAGAAGGCGTTGAGATTAGAAATTAAATTTTTCTTGTCTCCAGGTAATTTTTTTCATATTCAGTATTCCATATTTATTAGGTATATTTTAGAAACTCATTTTTCCATAAGCTCAAGACCATTAGTAAACAGAAAAAGAACTTTGCAAGGTATATTTTCAAACAAGGACCTGATGGATTTCAACAGTATAAAATAGTCCTGTGAATTTGAGAACTTGGCTGAGTTAGAAAGGTATAGTACAACGTTATCTGTACAAACTTCTATATTAAGATAATGCCTTCATTTTCTTTGCTTATTTAATCCAGTAGCCTTCTAAATTATATGGAGGAGTATGTTTTAGTTGTTACTGAATATCTGTTACACTGTTAAAGAACAAGAGACTGAGACAGGCAGTAAGCATAGATTCCTTGGAGTCTAGACATTTTCCCATTTCTTACTAGGTTACTCATAATCCTCCTTTTTCTGTACTACCTTATTATCTGCTTTAATTGTCCTTGCCAAGATTTAATGCATGTACGCCTGTCATCAACCCCTGCAAAAATACTGCAAAGAAACAGAACTCAGAGCTTTAAAAATCTTGAGATTAATTCTGAGCTGGGTCAGAGGCAACACTAGACCTTTTAAGTCCTTTTTCTTGGGGAAGGATTTCAGTGTGGATAGATGTTCATTTAAAGTACATTTTTCCTAAGAGTATATCATTAACAGGAACCTATACTGT